CCTATCAGCATTCCGGACCAATGTGTTCCAGCAGCGTTTGCTTAATCCGGGAAACTGTGAACCGATCTCACCTTACCTGAGACGTATCAGCCGAGTCGGGGGACACTTGTTGACACAGAGACGATCGATGCCGGGATTAAAACGAACACAACGCGCATTTGTGTTCATAAGTGCATTGGACGTAGTTTACGAAACCGCAGTGTAGGCACTGCAGTCTAAAGTACATTCAAAACTAAGACCCCCCCCCCCCCCACCCCCGTACACAGCCTTTACCAGACTGTTGGGGCAAAGTGCTGTTCGCGAGCACTTATGAAGGGCGGGCACGGCACACGAGGGAGGTGGGTGGTGGTAGCCAACGCCACGCCCGGCCGCCTTTGTCTCCTCCATGTCGGGAAGGAAACAATGAAGCCAACTGTGCCGAGCGAGTGTTGTGGCTTTCACAAGCTTTCAAAACCTACGGCTGGCCGAAGGAAAATGTGGATGTGATGGATTTTCACAATTTGGCGTGAAAGCTCCCAGGTGCATGAGGCTGAAACTTCTGATTCCAACTTGAGGTATTTTTATTCGTCGTTATTATTCATAATCAAGTTTGTTTCTTTCCCCGTTTTTTGGGTCCAAACGTGCTTCTGGCACCATGTCGCGAGATGCAGAATTAATTTGGAACTTTATCGAAGCAATGCATCTCTGCCACGTGTTAGAAGAGAACCACCCACGGAAGCAGACATCACAGAACTGCTTATGAGATCGCCCTACTTTTATCCACAAACTGGTTTCAAAGTTCATACCTTGCTACCGAGAGAGACACGTTGTCACATTGAGCGACGCATACAATGTTGCCACATTAAGCGACAAACCAAAGCGAATGCTGTACTTTTTTCTTAACCGGACATTTAGCAACCGGGCTGAGCTCATGAATTTGCTACACTTGATAACCTTAAATAGACTGTAGATGTGAGTCTCTCGGTTTCGATGTGAGTCTATGAGTCTCGATGTGAGTTATTGGTCAGCAGGCTTGCGATCATGAACTCGCTACACTAGAGACCTCGATGTAATCAGAATCACAATGTGTATTTATCCTCGAAGAATCCGATGAGGTTTGAAGCTTTTTTCATAAATGTCCAGTAGGAGCGGGTCAGCGATTTGCATCAACGTTCAATACAAAAACGATAGGAGTGCAAACTCGAGAAAAGTCACGAAGTATAAATCTAGCATACAAGTACAAGCTGCACGAGCACAACAATTCCGTAAGATTCGTCAACACCAAATGCAAACTTGGGCAAGGCAGCAAAACAACAACAGTCCGAGACCACACCAAGACAATAACACACAGTAGTCCTCCAATTAAATCGCAACATGATAAATGAACGGTCGATGCACGGGTTAGGTTCAAAGTAACAAATCACATTTTGCAAATGTGGCTCTCTGTCACAAGTCTTCTGCGGCTGGGGCTAAAACGCGGACGGGAACTCCGACTGGAACTTGGATTGGGACCCGGACTAAAAACCCGGACTGGGACATGGACTAAAACCCGGACTGGGACACGGACTAAAACCCGGACTGAGACACGGACTAAAACCCGGACTGGGACACGGACTAAAACCCGGACAGGGACACGGACTAAAACCCGGACTGGGACACGGACTAAAACCCGGACAGGGACACGGACTAAAACCCGGACTGGGACACGGACTAAAACCCGGACTGGGACACGGACTAAAACCCGGACTGGGACACGGACTAAAACCCGGACAGGGACACGGACTAAACCCCGGACTGGGACACGGACTAAAACCCGGACTGAACTCTGATTGGAACTCGGCCTGGAGCTCGGACTGAACCTTGACTGGGACCCGGACTGGAATTCGGACTGAACCCGGACTTGAACCCAGGCGCTCAGCCATGCCGGCTCCGTGCTCCGACCCCTGAGTCACGGGCCATCACCTCGCACAACTTCAGCTCTTAAACGACAGCGTTGCGCCAAAGTACAATAAATGACCCCGGTTATGACTTCCTCGTTAAAATAGAAATTGTAAAAGAAAGAGCACCCACTCACGCACGCCCACCCCCTCTTCATTGCCCGCGCGTGCGTCAACGTAAGGTTACCTTCATACATCTTACAAACACAGCACTGCATTGCAATTTGTTACCTAAATGACCAATAACGCTGTAGGACGGTAGCCACGTTGTTCACAACGTCACGTTTAATACTTCCAGCCTCGCGGTGTTTGTTGTTGATGAATCCATTGGGAGTTGTTGTTGTTGTGTGCTTGTGCACCACCACCGCCTGCAATGTTTGTTGGTTTGTTTAACACGAAGTAGGCTTTCGCGACCAATATCATCCATTAGAGGGTGTTTTTTGGGTTAGATCGCGTGAAAAATATAAATGTGTCGTTAAACCCGCCACCACCCGACACAGCCAATTAGTAAGGCGTTGTCACGTAAACAGAACGTGGCCAATTCGTCACGAGCACAGCACTAACAGGTGTGTTGTACTAGTTACGTGATCTAACCCAAAAAACCAACACTCTGATGTTTGTTGGTAAAAGATCTATGAATTGTTTTTATTTTATTTGTCCAGGTAAGGCCCCACTGAGCTGTGAAGCTCTTTTTCAGAAGCGACATCACAAACGAAAGCCCCACGAAGTGGCTCATCGTCGTGCGGAACGATCTGTCGCAGCAAAACAACTCCGGACGCGCGGTGTTCATTATAATTGTGGAGAGGGGGGAAACCCCCCAGAGAACCCGGAGCAAAATCCACGCGGCGACGAGCGGAGAGAGACGCCGCAAACTCCAAACACACAGCGGACATCGACGCGACCTCGGGGAGAGGTTCGTGGCGGCGGCGACCATCATCCAGCAGTGGAATGACCATGGCTGACGATGAGAACAAGGCATTGTTTTGTAAGAATGTTTTCGCCGACTATTGAGTGTCACGCGATGCTTTAAATATTTATCAGCTCGCCCCCTCCCCTCCATCCCATCGCCGAGGGCGTAAATATTTTACGCGGCGCAGCGAAGCGAACGAAGCGAACCTCCCACGAAGGGAGGGCAACACCGACACTGGGGGGGGTGGCCCCCTCGTTACCCGCAGGCCGCCCACCAACACTCAGCCGTGCTCGATCCACTGCTGGATGAAGGCCCCCCCCCCCCCCCCCCCCATAAACCCGTCGTCACACCTCTCGCACCGGTCCTGCGAACGCAGCGTTCCACGACCCCACGTGGGCAAGCCGCCTGCCCCGGGCTCACGGGACACCAATGGACCACGGTAGCTTTGCCGGTCTCGTCAAGGAGCATGAACCATCAACACGCCAACTCTAGTGGCCATCCTCCGAGCAGCAGCAACAGCGGCGGCTTTTGGCTGCTGGGCCATCGGACAAAGGCGGTCGTCACCGCATCACGCGGTGCTTTCAGATGCCGCTTCTCGAGGCCGTCTGGAACGCTCTTCCTTCCGATATTAGGAAGCCATTGGGGAGCGACGCTGCACTTTGAAATCGTCTCGATCTTGAAAATTGCTTTTTGTGTTTCGTTTGTTGTCCGGCTCCCTCACCTCCGATTAGCGTGGTTTGCTACGTACGGTGCGAAAATAGTTCAAGCAACATACATATTCATACCTGCATATTCAATTAAATGTTGATATATATTCATCCAGTAGAGCCACACTGAGTCGTACGACTCTTTTTGCAGGAGGGTCCTGCCACATTTGATCAGGGAACACACGCAGGTTAATGAAATCATCCAACCTGTTAAAACTAAAACTCAACTTCTTGAACCAGGTACGGCCCACTAAGCTAAGTAGCTTTTTTTCAGAAGCGACCTGGCGACAAATGATAGCTCGACTTAGTGGCTTATCATGTGGACATTTATAGCACCAATATACTCCCAAACGTGTGCTTCTAAATGTGGAGGGAAAAACCAAAGAACCCGGAGAAAAATCCACGCGATCACGGGGAGAGAGACACGCAAACTCCAAATACACAGCAGGTGTCAGGGTCGGGATCGAACCCACGCTTTCCTGCATTCCAGGACCAGTGTTGTTACGTGGTGCAGAGATACGAACACTTCAAAGAAAATGGAACGATACGACAGCACAGCAAGCGGAGATGAGAATGCTGAGATGGATGTTGAAGCCTTGGCAGAGGAGACAGGACGTTCTTGAGCCTGGACTTCAGCGATGGAGTCCGCATCACGGGTGGCTGGTCGGGAGACCGTTTCCAGGCATTGGATTCAACAGAGGAGAATGAGCGGTGGGATGGGGGTAACTCACGAACCTTGCGGGCATGGCCAGCATGTCCTGTGCGGCGTTTGGCTCACTCGGACCACTGCCCCACCTGCCGGATGATGCTTAAACTGCGGCTGTGGAGCCCGAGGGAGGAGGGTGGCGTGGCACGCAAAGCAGCGACGCCCCCTGCCGGGAAGCAAGCGCACCACGACAACAACGCACACGGTGGCTATGAGATGTTAACCATCTTGCCTGGGAGACAGGAGCGCCTGGGTTCGATCCCGACCCTGATGCCTGTATGTTGGGAGTTTGCATGTTCTCTCTCTTTCTCTCCCTGTGGTCAAGTAGATTTTTCTCCGGGTCCTGCCGGGGTTTTTCTTTGTTACCAAAAATTGCCCCAAGATGGACAACCGCCGGTCAAAAGGAAACCCGAGGGGATGAAGAAGATTAGCAAACAGCGGTGTTTTACCCTCCACATTTAGAATCAACAACACGCATTTAGAGTATATGGCTGCGTTAAATTATGCACGTGACAATAAGCCACTTCGTTGAGCTATACCCATTTGTGGTGGCCAGGTCGCTTCTGAAAGAGAGTTATCCGGCTCAGTGGGGCCTTACCTGGTAAAAAATAAAAAAGGGCATTTAGTCTTAAAAAAAAAAGTTTAGCGCACGACTCGAATAACGCGCACACGCGCACAACGTTGGAGGCCACGTAGACGGCCGTGGCCAGCAGCTGGTGCGAGAAACGAGTGCAAACTCCGAGGTTCGAGACGCGGGTGAATTTCGTTTGACTCAATGAAGTATTTATTTAAAAGTCATTAAAAAAAATCAAACACAAAGTTTAAAAAATTTTCATTGTGACCAACGTCTTTCAGCGATCAGCATCAACACGTATAATACTACATGAACGTGTGTGCGGTGATACATACATACATTACAATATATACACACACACAATACTAAACACAAACTCTGCAGGCAGTGGCCGAGAGACAGCCTTGTTGCTGTACTGCCTAATGCTGACACCACCTCCCTTGCACCATGGGTGGCAGCCTGGCGGATGTAAATCCCTTCGTGAATTCACCAGCGCCCGGCTTTGAAGTCAACAGAATTCCACTTCAGGCCATGTGACATCTCCATCCATCTTACAAGCTCGTGCATCTCTCTCAACGTCCATCCATCGAGAGATGAAGCAGTAAAAGAAATAAAGCTCCATTTATCTGACACTTTACCATCCGGAATTATCCATCTGTCGGAGACGCCAAAGCAAATCTTCCGTTGACGTATCCGGAGAAAATTCCGGCAGCCGTCCGGCATCTTGCCGTGCCCTTCTCGTCGATCCGCCGTTGTTGTTGTCGTTGTTGTTGTCGTTGTTGTTGTTGTCGTCGTTGTTGTTGTTTCAGGACACTGCCGCGTGTTTGGCGCTAGCGGCAGTCTGTACACACATTACTTGCACTGTACTCTAAACGGCCCCAATGCTTCTCTGCAATCAACTTAGAATGCTCGACAACTGACTGGTGAGCACCTCTGCACACGAGGAGGTTATTACGTCTCAATATCGTCGTCAACGTGAGCTTAGATTCCTCCCTGAAACATGCCACGTGCTTGGCAAATTTGGTGAACCCGGAGCATGACGCTCGGATAACCAGCGACATTTGATGAACTCCGTTCCCCACGGATGCCGGATAACAGAAGTCTCTCTGCTTCCTCCTCAAGGCCGTGTCTGCCTTCGTCGTCCCTCTACAAGGCGACGTCCCATACGAGAGGTCTCTCTGCGAGGCAATGTCCATCTGCCCGTCGTCCCTCTACAAGACGACGTCTCTCTGCGAGGCAATGTCCATCTTCCCTTCGTCCCTCTACAAGACGACGTCTCTCTGCGAGGCAATGTCCATCTTCCCTTCGTCCCTCTACAAGACGACGTCTCTCTGCGAGGCAATGTCCATCTTCCCGTTGTCCTGCAAGGCTGTGTACGTCCGCTGGCTTTGGTCACGAACGTTGCCGCTTGGTCTACACGCAATTGTCCTGTCCGGGAAGATGAGTTGGAATCAGATCCACGTTCCTCTGCAAGACCACGTGCCTCTAACACGTGGCTAGGATGTGTCCCGTGACATATCCGCAATCGTTTCTCCACCTACATGGCCGTACACACACATTTGTGTCCACGTGCCCATCCACATCTTTGTCCGCCTACGAAGACAATGATCCCCCGCGTAGCCGTCAGCAAACTGTCGGGGCAAGTGCTGCGAGCCGGTAGCACCCTACGAAGGCCGACACCGCACACGAGGGGGTGGGTGGCCAACACCACGCCCGGCCGCCTTTGTCTCCCCAGTGCTTATATGTTCACGCATCACAATAAGTAACCATTTAAGGACGAGTCGACCCAGGGGAAGCCCAGGAACAGATCAAATATTCGCTCCTGTTATTGGTCGTGAGCAGCAATTAAAACTCTGGTCACCGATTTAGCAGCGCGCTAACTGCCGCGCCACCACTCCCCACCTACGGAGTGTTCATTTACACCTCGTGTTCACTTACGAGTTCACCAGTGGCGGGTCGTGTATTTCACACCTAGGCCTTCAGTGCTATCCTCCCGCAAATTAAACCGCCTTCGAATAACCTCACCCCATATTCACAGTGACAGTAACCTTTATCAAGTGGAATAAAGTGATTTAACACGAGGCTCAACACCTATGACAGTTACAATACACTAATTGTAGAGACATGAATACATGGTGACTGAAACCATCAAGGATGTACCACTATTACGCAGTACGACAGGATGCTGCATCACAAATAGACATCGCATAGCCCAAATCAATGTCATTACCAAAGAAACAGTCGTATTTACTCATACGACCACCAAGCAAGCAAAAATGCCGTAAAACACAAATAACACAATCAGGATTCAACAGGCTCCGCCCCCTCTTAGCTGATGCTACGTGACGTGCTAGCTAGTTTTACTTCAGTGAGCTAAGTGGCCCTCCGATCACGCCACACGAACAAGGCTAACGTAGGCGGCTAGGCCAGCTAGAAGGCTCCGGCGTGTCAAAGAACACGCCCCCAACATGGCAAACTCGACATCTGATTGGTTAAAGAATATGACGATCAACAACATCGTCCCCATTTGCTTCAACAGCAGAGGGGATTCACTCGACATTCTGAAGGCCTCAGGGTAGATTTTTTTTTACCCGAAGAGGCGGAGACAGCACCGGTGTAAAATCTGATTGGATAAAAGCTCTGATTTAGATGAGCTGCCCTGGAAGCAGCACAACTGAGGGAGAGAGGAGCAATGAAATGACGTTATTAGACTGATGGGAACGAACTTTGTAAAACACACATAGCATTCATGAAAATATTAAATTATAAAAAATATAATTTCATGATCCTGACAATCTCTAGGCCAGCAGAGAAGGCCTTGTGACCCTGACGTCCCGCCTCTGGAGCTCACCCAGGTGCCCGTCCCCCCTCGTCCACGGTCCACCCACGCCTCCATACCGCGCGTCCACCTACAAGTAGTGTCCATTGACGCCCTCGTCCACGGGCCCACGCGAATCGTTGTCCGGGCGTCCGTCCGCCACGGGCCCGCGCTCGTACGCGTCCCCGCCGTCGTCGGCGCGCACAGTGCCCGCCCGCCAGCTCGTACGCGCGCCCACCGTGTCCCTCGCCCACCTCCTCGTCTCCACCGTCCTCGCCGTCCCCGCCGCGGCCCCCGTGGCCGTCCGCCGCCATCGCGTCCGCGAAGCGGCCGACGCCGCCGTCGCCCGCCGCCGGCGCCGCCCCGCGCTGGTGCTGCTCGCGGAGGTGCCTGCGGAGTGCCGGCTTGTGCGCGAAGCCGACTTGGCAGTGCGCGCAGCGGTGCGGCCGGTCGCCGCTGTGCAGGTTCATGTGGTCGTGCAGCGAGCTCTTCTGCGTGAAGCAGCGGCCGCACAGGGCGCAGGCGAAGGGCTTGACGCCCGTGTGGATGCGCAGGTGGCGCGTCAGGTTGCTGCTCTGCGAGAACTGGCGCCCGCAGCGGGGGCACGTGAACACCTTGTGCGTGCGCATGTGTGCCCACAGCACCTCGGCGTGCGAGAACGTCTTGGGGCACCGGCTGCACTCGAAGTGCTTCGCGCCGACGCCGCCGGCGGCGCCGTTCGGCGAGACGCCGGCCGCGAAGGCCGAATGGGCGACGGAGTAGACGGCGAGCGCCGGGTCGCCGTGCGGGTGGTGCCCGGAGGCCGCGGGCGGCGCCGTCAAAACCGCCGCTCCGCCCGGCGCCGAGCGGAAGGAGAAGCCCCGGGCGCTGCCGCGGCCGCTCTTCGCTTTGCTCGGCGGGACGATGCCAAAACGGCCGGCGCCCCTGCCGGCGCGCAGCCCGACACAGCCGGTGCTGCCGGTGCCGGCTCTAGTGCCATCGTGGTGGTGGTGGTGCTGGTGCTGGTGGTGCAGGCCGGAGGAGTACACGGGGCTGTGGCCCGGCATCTGGAAGTACGGCTGAGCGTTCGTCTCTTCCTGCTGCTGCTCGCCGTCGGAGACGCCGGTGCCGGTGATGATCGTGGCGCCGTCCGGGCTGCCCGCCGGCACCATCCGCTGGCGCCGGCACTCGAAGTGGCCGTGCCGCGTGGGATCGGCCGGCAAGTTCACGGCGAAGGCGTTTTGCTCGGACGGGGGAGACAGCTGGTGCCGGGCGGCCTCAAGCTGGCGTCGGTGGTGGTGGTACTGGTGCGGCAGCGCTACCTGCGGACGCCTGGCGTGGGCGTCCCCGTCGAACTCGTCGCCGCTCAGCTGCTCCACCTTGACGATGGAGAGGCTCCGGGGAGGGCACTCCTGCTGCTTGCGCCCGGCCGGGGGCGCCGCTCTTTCCGTCGACCGCTCCCTCTCCGCGCCGAAGCGAGCGCCGTCGAAGGCCTTGTTCTCGTCGTCGTCGTCGGTGGCACCGTCGGTGGCGCCGTCGGCGGCGCCGTCGGCGACGGCGACGCCGCAGCGATCGTACTCCGGTTCGGAAATCCCCGCGCCATCCGGCATCCGGTCCGACTCGCCGTCGTACGAGCGCTCCGACAGCGGGCTGGCGGCCGCGGCCTTCGAGCAAAACCCGGCGTCGTCGTCCATCGCGGCTCCGTCGGCGCCGTCCGCCCCGTAGAGCCCGAACCGCGGCTGGAAGTACTCGGACAGCGCCTTGGTGCACCTCTCCACGACGTGGTCCATCTGCAGGTAGCTGGCGGCCGTCAGGTAGGCCACCAGCTGCGCGGCCGGCACGTCGAGGTGGCCCGTGTAGCACGAGAGGAGCAGGGCCAGCGCGGCGCGCGGCTCCGGCAGCGGCGACACGCGCAGCTCGCCGGCGCTCGGGTTGAGCAGGAACTGGTCGCGGAGGTACGGCGAGCCGGCCGCCAGCACCACGCGGTGCGCCGGGAAGGCGGCGGCGCCCAGGCGCACCGTCACGTCGCACAGCTTGCCCTCGGCGCGCAGCGAGTTCATGGCGGCGAGCAGCGCGCCGCTGCCCCCGCACATCTCCAGGCGGAGGACGCCGGCTCGCGAGGCCATCGCCGGCCGCGCCGCCGCCGGTGCCGCCGTCGGTGCCGTTGCCGGTGCCGTTGCCGGTGCCGTTGCCGGTGCCGCGGCCGGCGGCGACGACGCTGGCGGAGGAGGCGGGCGGGCGGGCGGGGTGGGAGAGGGGAGAAAGGAGAGAAGTCGGAGGTTCGGCCACGACCCGCAGAGGCAGGCGTCGTCCTAGAAGCATTGGGGGGCGGTGTGTGGGGGGACGTTTCACTTCCTTCCCTCTGCCAGATCCCGTGAGAAGCAGAGACACAGACGAGGACGCCCACGTCACGGATGTAACCACGCTCGCGCATTCAACATCGCCAGCATCCGAGAAAGGAAATCGTCGCCGCTGATTTTCATCAAATATGCCGACCAGATATTCAGACAACCACACGAGGCCTTCCCAAGGCTTCGATTGATGAACTGTGTCATGGAAACCGCTGATTTAGTTTTATTTTCCGTGGCGGGTTACCGGGTCTGGGTTTATGGGTTAGAGGTGTTTGGGTTTTTTGAGTTGCTGTTGGGGGTTAAGAGCGGAAGGTGAAGTGTGAGGCTTAGTGTTGATAACTAGGGCTCAGAGTTCAGGCTTAGGGGATCATTTCAGGTGTAGACCAATCAGTTTCAAGGACAATGCATATTTTATCAGAGTATGTTTTTTTGTTTGCATTCTGACCACAAGTGTTGTGGTTAATGCAGACATGATTCCTCGTAAAAATGTTTCCGTTTTGTTGCCAGAAAAAAGGGGGGAAACCTATTCTCATATCATTTAAGGGTTAAGTGTTAGGATTTATGGCCAGGATTCAGAATTAGGGGTATTCATTAAGGTTTAGGAGTTCGCGATGATGAGGCTAGGGTTTAGGATTACGGGTTGGTGGTTGTGTTCATGGTTAAGGGATGTGGAATAGGACCATGGACATGAGTAACATTCTCTAGGGGTTGAGAGGAGTAACGGTGTGGGCCTTGACGAAAGCATCACCTGGGTCACTATGCCGACAGAGGGATAAGCTGTCGTGAAGCTGTAGCGTCATCTCAGTGAAGTGAACACGCACACACGAGGAAGGCTACAGCCGTTCACGTCAAGTTAAAACCTTCACACCCAAGGGTGCCAGTCTTGCTCCGAGCAAAATGTGTCTGCCGGATTGCTTGCAGTCTTTTGATGCCATCGCAGAAAAATGCAGATATGTATCCACTTAGGCAGCTGGAACTAAACTGAGCTGGTGGGCTTAAGGCCCCTGTATATATACTACTATTTATATTACTGGAAAGTTCTAGAATGTTCTAGAAGTTACTCAAAGTTTACACAGCACGGAATCTATCTGGAATGTTCTGGAAAATAGGTACATTTCAAAATATCACTGTCCTGGTCACAAAAGCAAAGTTTGTTAGGAATAATAGCCAATTTCTGTACCTTTTGAGGCATAAGCAATTAGGAAATAACACTTACTACCCAGGAACAAAAAAACATTGTTACACTGTAGTTCATTCGGCATCTGTGTGTGTGACGAAAGATTTGACGTTTGATGCGTGACGAAATAAACAACAGCAGTGATGTCACATCGAGACGCGGGCTCAAAAGATATAACAGCAGCAGTATCAGCAACAGCAGTATCAGCAAAGCAACAGCAGTATCAGCAGCGGCAGCAACAGCAGTATCAACAACAGCAGCAGTATCAGAAACAGCAGCGGCCGTAATATCAACAGCACGAGCAGGTGCAGCAGCAGCTGTAGCAGCAGCAGTATCAGCAACAACAGCAGTATCAGCAACAACAGCAGCAGCAGTATCAGCAACAACAGCAGTATCAGCAACAACAGCAGTATCAGCAACAGCAGCAGTATCAGCAACAGCGAGTAGCGGCGTTGAGCTCACGCAATCAAGAGCAGTGTCCGCCGGCACAGATGCAGCAACAGCAGCACTCGCGGCAGCTGCAGCATCAGCCGTAACAGCAGCAGTGGCATCAGCATCAGCAGTGGCATCAGCAGTGACAGCAGCGTTCAGCACCATCAGTAGGTGGGACAGTAGCAGCAACAGTAGGTATCAGCAGTAGCAGCAGCAGTGTTCAGCAAGATCAGCAGCAGAAGCGGGTTTTTTCAAAATCAACAGGAGCATTAGCAGTGTTCAGCAAGATCAGCAGTGGCATCAGCAGCAGTGGCATCAGCAGCAGCAGTGTTCAGCAAGATCAGCAGTGGCATCAGCAGCAGTGGCATCAGCAGCAGCAGTGTTCAGCAAGATCATCAGTGGCATCAGCAGCAGCAGTGTTCAGCAAGATCATCAGTGGCATCAGCAGCAGTGTTCAGCAAGATCATCAGTGGCATCAGCAGCAGTGTTCAGCAAGATCAGCAGTGGCATCATCAGCAGTGGCATCAGCAGCAGTAGCAGTGACGCACGCCTTTGTGGCTCTATAGGGCCCCGGCCGGCGTAATCCCATCATCAACAACAACAACAGCAGCAGTGTTTACCGACGATCAGCAGCAGCGGCGGCGGCAGCAGTAGTAGTAGTATCAGCATCCGCAGCAGTAGTAGTATCAGCATCAGCAGTAGGATCAGCACGAAGGGCACGCAGGGTGCCGGCGTGAACGGGAACGGGTTCCGTGGCGACCCGGATCGGGAAGTTGCGCCGCCTCCGCCACCGGGGCGAGCGAGGCGATGGAGTTGGCCACCAGGGGGCAGTGTGGGCACGCGTGGTGGCCGGGGCCGCCCCTAGGTGGACTCAGCCCGAAATGTCCAGTGTGTTACGCGCGGTGGAAATGGTTTGAGAAAGCCGCGTGAGAATTATTTTATTATGTTTTATTTTTATTATTTTATTATTTCCATTCTACGTGACTTTACCGAAAGAACCAAGAAGATGAATCCCTGCAGTCACGAAAGTTTTCAGTCGAAATAAAAGCCGCGTGGTGAAGTATGGTCGAGCAGCAATGTCGGGGTTGTTCAGCCACGGGAGATCTCAATCCAGGCATAGGTTGACAGGCAACTGGCAATGATGATCGAACACATTGGGACTTTTATTTATTTAATTGCAAGTTATTATTGAGCACGGATGCGAAATAAGTTCAGCATACGCACTGATCGTCAGTGTGTTATGTGCACCTTGAAATAATAACACAGCGTTTTCATTTGGGTATCATTACTCAGCAAAACAATTGGCTTCCCAGTCCCACAAAGAATAAAGTGAAAGGTGTTTTAAGCAGACAAGGACTCACCCACGGAGTCTCATCTGCGAGCGAGATGCATGTGGGTGGCCAGAAGTGACAACGTCGCTCCAAGATAAAGTGGAGAGAGATCAGAGCAAAGGTCACTGCGGTACAGGAGAAGTCGAAAACAGTGCGCAAGCATCAACCACACATTTAAAGCCAGTGGCTCTTAAGGGGCCGACCATAAATGACGTCACGCACCTGTGGGGGGGGGGGGTCAGACATTTGTGACGATGTGTGACGAGGAGGGGGGGTTTGAGAAATGTGACGTCACATCAAAATGCGCAACTTTAAATAAATACAGACAACACGTTCTACTTAATTAAATAGACTTTTTAATAAATGTTTTCTCCTACAATATTAGAGTGCAGCGCCACATTAAATACGCGCTACAATGACAATAGTTTAAAGCGATTTGAAGCATATTTTATTTTCAAAATAAAAATATGATTTGGGGGGGGGGGGGGGCAGAGCTTTGTGGCGTCATATTTTGCGGGGGGGTCTGACTTTTTGTGACGCCGTGTGACGATGGAGGGGGGGGGTCAAAAATCTTCAAAATCGCGTGACGTCATTTATGGACGGCCCCTAACGAGATGCCCTTTCTGAGCACCGAAGGGGTTGGAGACTTGAGTCAAGTTTCAGAACCACCAATTTAAGGGGCACGATTGCCCCGGAATTAAAGTCAACACGGGACATCGTCGTCAACACGGGACGTTGGGCCTACGGTTGCAGGCACATGCCTCCCAACGTTGCTTGGCATCTTTATTGGGATTTCATTTTAAATCGCTCACGGCGCAGATGAATCGAAGCGAGAAAACGCCGCTCCGGTGTCGCACTCCCGTGTCTCGTCGGCACGCGCCACGCTTGTTCAGCTAAAACGCTGCTGGGTTGGCAGATGTTATGGTGCGGGATCGCCTGTGGTGAAGGAAAGGGCCTCTGGACAGTGCCCCCTGCCACCCTAACCCCCGAACGCGTCTGTCTGGGCAGGGCTCGTAAAATTAAACTGGGATGAAGATAGCGGCCAATGGGGAGGAGAGTTGGTGGGCAGTGAGAGCGAGAGGGAGCGCGGGGAGGCGGCATTGGAATGAAACTGGGTCTTAGAAATCCGCGGTAGCCGAGATACACTCACAACACGGCGCACGATGAGACATTGTCACGATTATATGGTGTGCCCGTGTATCAGATTCGTTTTATACAGCGCCAATCTTGTTAGGAATCATCAGTAGCGCATAGGCGTCTCTGCCGACCGCTCTCGTGTCTGTACGGCGGTGGCTTTAATTGAATGGACAAATGCCTCCCTGATCACTGGTGGGGACATTTTTAGTGATTCCTAAGAGCAACAATGAACCAATTGTATCTTCTGCATGCTCATCCCCACGTCGTTGTAGGTCGTGGGGGTTATTTGACCATACTTCACCACGAAAACCGATTGCAAACACCATCTCTCTAAACGTCTCATTTTCCTCCGTCTGATGAGTTTTGTCATTTTGTTTTCTAAAATGTTCGAATAATTTTAATTCCAACACGATTGGTCCACAAAACGTATCGTTAGAGGTGGCGATGGCTTGGGGAACCATTCACGCAGCAGTGGATTGGCCATGGCTGAAGATGGAATATGATGATGATGAACCCAGTGAACTTAAGAGCCATCCAGTGCGCACTGGGAACTTCCACGGATTTCTCTCGAATGGGAGTGTGCGCCTCCTCTACGCAGCTCTCATCCCAATCTCTGGCCTCGCACTCAGCTCCTGGATCCTGAGACCCAAGCAAGGTAGGCGACGGAGACCTGGTGGGAGAGATCTGCGCAGCTCTTTACCTAACTACTTAACTAACTAACCAATAATCACCAACAGCAGCCATGGTCAAGCCACTGCTGGATGAAGGCAATCCCCAAGCCCCCGTCACCTCTAACGATCCTAACACTAACGACCCCGTAACTATCCCGCACCCTTTATTCTCGCTTAACTTCGGTGCAATGTACAATAGGCTACTGTTAAACGGGCGGGAGTGGTGGCGCAATGGTTAGCGCACCGCGGTTACAAATCCGTCGCTTATCTGAGTCGGCGCTCGCTGTCATTGCCCGCCACACAAGTCGTTCTGGTTGTATGATGAGCCTTGGTTTTTGCGCGAATGCAACAAAGAGTAACATGTGCACGGTTACCGTTATGCATCTCGCGTGTGCTGACACATGCGGAATTGATCGGTGGCGCCGGTGGTTAGCGCACTGCGGTCACGATCCCGGCGGCGGACTGAATCGTTGACGGGTGATATCTGAAACGGTCCTGGGCCTCCCCACGTGGTGAAGTATGGTCAAGCAACTCGACAAACCAGCACGGCATGAGGCGGGGGGCGGGGGGGGGGTTGGGGTGGCTTCATCCAGCAGTGGATTGAGAATGGACTGTGAATGATGACTGTCGTGGACGCGCGCGGCGTCAGCGTCACGCTCCTCATGACTCGTGCCGTCATCCTGGGGGGCCTTAGAGAGTAAATTCAACAATGGGGGGGGGGGGCAGCTCTCCGTATTGTTCTAACTACGAACATAGAATGGACGATCTCTGTTACTGCCGTACGTGCGCCCTCTCGCCCTTCCACGATGTCTCGAGACGCGTCGCATCAGTCACCAACTGCTCGCCAGACGTCGGCTCAAGTGCCCGTAGGGGCGCATCGCGATCATCTGAATTCCGTCGCCGTCTTACGATTCAAGTCGGAATGAGAGCTCACGAGAATGTCGTGACTTATCCGTCTCGCAAGCCGGAACATCGCAGCCAAAACGCACGGCGATGCCAACGAGGACTCCATCCCAGCCGGGTGTTAACCAGGGCGGGTGTTGACCAGGGCGGGTGTTAACCAGGGCGGGTGTTAACCAGGGCGGGCGTTGACCAGGGCGGGTGTTAATCAGGCTGGGTGCTAACCAGACCGGGTGTTAATCAGACCAGGTGTTAATCAGACCGGGTGTTAACCAGGGCGGGCGTTGACCAGGGCGGGTGTTGACCAGGGCGGGTGCCTTCGGGGAGAGAGCTCTGGCGCAAAAGTAAACGCGGTTGCATTCCGGTCAATCTCAAGCCACGATTTGACGCAGGCCTCCCCCCCCCCAAGTCATACTAATATTAATAATATTATTCGTAGTAATAATCCATATTTGTAAGGCGCATTTCATCCGTAGATCCCAAAGCGCACCGCGTATGGAATGCAGGAAACAGAGCCTTGCAGGGTAAAGGACCAGAACTTGAGACTCAAGGCCAGTTTATATCGGGTCGTAGGATGACAAATATTTGTTTTTGCTATACTTCACCACGCTGGTCAGTACCGCCGGTAGCTACAAAGTACATTTAATTATTTAACAATGATTGTGTTTGCGAGCGCCTCTCCCATCGTCCATCCATCCCTCCCTCCTCCTCCCCCCCGTGGTTCTAGTCGAATCGCTGCAGCTGCGTGCGCAATGCGTGAGGAATGCTTGAAGGGATCTGATGTCGTCTCGCACCCACCCACCCATATCCTCCTCATCTGCCACGACAACTCAAAACAAGACCCCCCCCCCAATCCTGCTGGGGTGGAGCGGTGGCGCAGTGGTGAGCGCACTGCGCTCCGAACCCCTGAGCGCGTGTTCCTGCGTGTTCACCGTGCGTGCACCTAGCCTGGCACAAATGGCCGTGGTGATTGCATCGCCGCTTCGTGGCCAACGGCGATTGTTGTTGTTATGCCCGTGTATGCGTTACTGCGTTTGTGTGTACGCACGTGTAAATTACTGTGTGTGCATGTGTTATTGTGTATACGTCTGTGTGTTGCTATGTCTTATTGTGTGTGCGTCTGTGTGTTAATGTGTATACTGTACCTCTCTGTGGGGGGCGGTAGTGTAGCGGTTAGCGTGCTGCGCTATGAACCCGGCGACCCAGGTTCAATTCCCGCTCACGGCCAACACCAGTGACGATTATCTGAACCGGTCGTGGGCCTCCCCAAGGTCGACTCAGCCTCAAATGAGTACCTGGTGCGATGTGTAAACATCGCCACTGGGGGAGACAAAGGCGGCCGGGCGTGGTGCTGGCCACCCACCCCCTCGTGTGCCGTGCCGGCCTTCATATATGCTAGTCGCTAACAGCACTTGCCCCAACAGTCTGTGAAGGCTACACGAGGGGGGTGGATCTTTGTAAATGTTTTATGGGGAGGGGTCGCCATTTCCTGCTTCCACCGCTTGGCAGAGGGAGCGAGGCGGAATGAGCTGAGGATGGAATGAGACGCAATGAGGAATGAGATGGAGACGGGATGTGATAGAATGAGCTTGGAGATTGACTGGCCCCGAGAGAGATGGAATGAGCTGAAGAAGGAACGAAACGGAATTAGCTGAAAGTGGAATCAGATGGAATGAGACCGGAATGAGTTAAGAGATTAAATGAGCTGGCGATGGAATGATATGGAATGAGACGGAATGAGCGAGCCAATGAACTGGAAGGGCTTCACTGTACGGGAACAATAGCCCGTTTGTGTATTCCTGCGCGCGTGAAATATCACGGAATTCTTCACAGTTCTGTTGACTCATCAGCAGCAAGGGGCATCATCATAATTAGTGTCACTATTCAGCATTCACCAACATCACCACTCATACTTGTAGATTGTTATTAATCGCGTCATTTTCCATCATCATCATGAGCTGTAATCCATCCGTCAACATCTCATCGAGCACCATCATCAGTTATTATCGATATGACTCATCTGCCCCATCAGTCAGATCATTAGTAACGATTGGCCCTGGGATGGATCGCGCATTCTCCAACTCTGATGAACCGCAGTTTGCCTCTGGATTCTATATTTACGTTCTATGAAGAAGCGCCATTGACCGAAACATCGTTTATTACATGGTATTTCTTGATTGACGAATTGTGAGGTTGGGTAAACATTGGTTGACGTTGAGCCAGCGTTGGTTGACGTTGGACAAACATCCTCAACCAACGTTGGCCCAAGGTTTGCATGTTCGTGACATTGTAGCATTTGTCTCTATGGAACTCTCAACGTCATCGTCATCTGTTTTCTATCTTCCCGTTTCCTGCCACTTTTAAATTCGACCGTGTTGCATGAACACGATCGAGTGAGCGGCAACTGAAACGCGTTAGTTGTGATTTTAGTTTTTTCTATCAAAACATCCTCCCCTCTAAACAAATAAAACCCCACGTTCGATGTATTATCCTGTGATGATGAGTGGCAACGCTTTGCTTGCAAAAGCAATTTCATCGGACGAATGTGTGTTTTATTAGGGCCGTTGCTCCGCAACGCCACGATAAGTAAGTAAAGGCAAAGGCGCAACCCTGCAATGTCCTGAGCACGCCTCTGCTGGCGGAAGGTCCTCCACTAGTGGGAGCTCAAGGGAGAGATGCACTCTAGATGGGTATTTGGTCTACTCTTCCACGCCAGCCTGACGTATAAAACTCTTTTTTTAAACGAATTTTATTTTACCAGGTAAGGCCCACTAACCTGTGTAGCTCCATTCTATGTTCGTAGTGATAGCCCAGGCAAGTGGCTCATCACGTGGGCATTTCTAGCAGCCAAATACTCTAAACGCGTGGTGATGTTGATTCTAAATGTGGTGGGAAAAACCGGAGGACCCCGACAAAAATCCACGCGACCACGGGGAGAGAGACACGCACATTCCAAATATACAGCAGCAGGCGTCAGGGTCGGGATCGAGCCCACGACCTCCTGTATACCAGGCGAGGGGGTTAACATCTCACCACCGCGGTTCTCCAAGAGGCCGGAGTACCCACACTTTACCCCACCACACTTCTTTACTCCACCACACGCGACCGGGAGGGGGGGGGGGTGATATCGACCAACCCACAGCGAAGCCCATTGTTACCGCGGCAAGCTGTCAGCTTGTGCAGATGCGGTGCGGGTGTGTGGGGCGGATTTAAAGAACTCGCTCCGTTGTTGACACCGCCACGCCGGGAGATCGAAAGTAACGGGAAACTCAAGGGTTTGCCAATCCTTGTGACCGAGGCGGCGTCCGCTCGCCTTTAAAGAATCGACTCGGGAGGATTCGACCGTCGATTACTCGAGGGTGCGTGGGCCGACTCCGTGAGTCATCATCATCACCATCACCACACACAGAGCCCTTTTGGCAGCTGTGGAAAGGAGGCCCCGCCCGCGTGGGTGCGGGCTGGAGGGAGATGTTGTAGCCTTATATGGGGTCACTGCTGGGACGCCTGGGAGCTCAGCCCAAGCGCAAAGACAAAGATCCCCCGTATAAGCTGTAGCAGACTGTTGGGGCAAGTTCCGTCTGCGAGTGGCACCTGTGAAGGCCGACATGGCACACGAAGGGGATGGGGTGGCCGGCAAACCACGCCCGGCCGCCTTTGTCTCCCCAGTTTACACACCCCTCCCAGGTACTCATTTGAGGCTGAGTCAACCTAGGGGAGGATAGGGGCGATTACCCCCCACCCCACCTCTTCTTAAGACCACAGTAAAAAATAATATCTCATGAATATTTACCAACAAAAACACATTGAATGTTTATATTCTTCGAATGTAGGGCCCTATTTGAATGTTTGAGATGTTTTTGCCTGCCTCTCTCTCCCCCTGGGGAAGTTTCTAGATCCGTCTCTGGGGTAGTTTGACCATACTTCACCGCGCTGATCACTGCGGGCTGCTGAAGGAGGGGCGCTTCCAGGATCGCTTCAGATGTCACTCGTCAGTGGCATTGGCCTTGGCCAGGAATAGAACTCAGGCGGCTGGGTTCATGGCGCAGTACGCCAACTGCTTGCACCATTGCTCTCATCTACAAAGACAAAGATCCCCCTTATAGCCTTGAGCAGACTGTTGGAGCAAGGGCTGTTAGCGAGTAGCACCTACGAAGAAATGGGTGGGTGGCCAGAACCACACCTGGCCGCCTTTGTCTCCCCAGTAGCGATGTTTATGCACAAGCTACTCATTTGAGGCTGAGTCGACCTAGCGGAGGCCCAGGACCGGTTCAGATAATCGTCACCGATGGTGGGCCGTGAGCAGGAGTCGAACTCGGGTCGCCAGGAGGAGCAAGCGGGCCCGTGGGGACGACCATTCTTGGCTTGCCTCACGGTCTCAAAGCTGCGTGCGGAGTGCACCCGATCTGGGCATGTCGAATGGGTCACCACCATTTAGTTCAGTTTATTTTGAATTACCCTGTGAGCCAAGAAGCTCTTAAATCGGGTTTCATCAACAACTCATCAGCAGATATCATTGCTCGATCCCTTCCCACTAATAATTATCATAACCCACTGAATATGTATCTACACTGGCAATCTCACGGTTCAATAAAGGACATTGAGGGAGTAGGTGGCTCTGTGGCAACCATCAACCCCTTCCCTTGGACCTGAGTTTTCCCGCAGACGTCGAGTCGGGCACGGACGCGTGGCCACACAGACGCTCGACGCCCTTCTCCCCCCTCGCCCCCCCAGAGCCATGGTGTACCACGCGGAGTTCGAGGTGGCGGGCCGCCAGCCCGGCCTGCAGGTGTGGCGCGTGGAGAAGCTGGACCTGGTGGCCGTGCCCACGGAGCTCTACGGCAGCTTCTACACGGGCGACGCCTACGTGCTGCTCTTCTCCGTGCGCAACCGCGCCGGCAACATGCAGTACGACCTGCACTTCTGGCTCGGTGAGTGCATCGGCGTTGTCGGAAACATCGGTAGCATCATGGCCATCATCATTACCGCCATCATCATCACCGCCATCATCATCGCTATCATAATCATCACAGCTATCATTATCGTCATCGCCGCCATCATCGTCAGATAGTTTAGTTTTGAATTAACGACGTCCACCTCGTCCAGACGACGCTGCTAGCCGCGTTTAAGGTGACGCGAAACCACGTGGCAACTGGAGCCACCGCGGGAAGGAGAAACCCAGAGATACAGAGACTCAGAGAAACTCAGAGATACAGAGAGACCCATAGAGATGCGTTAAAGACAAGCCACAGTAGTGCAACTGTAGCCATACAAACAAACTACAGACTGCACAGTAAACCCACTGTGGTCTGCACTACTTCAACAGAGGAGTAGGAACAGCAAAACCACGCGAACTCTCTCTCCCTCAGCCCTCTCGTCGTGGCCTGCAGACCTCGACATTGGCATCGGGTCCCTGAACACATGACTGCTGCCATCGTGCGCAAGCATAGAATAGAGTAATGCAGTGTTCTTCGCTAATTTTCATAAGGGGGGCCGCTTTCGCCAATAAGACATCATCAGTGTGAGGGCCGCCACTCGTATTTGAAACCATTGGGTCTGACAGCAGCACAATGATGGGGGAGTTGTCACGCGTTGTGTAGTGTCCGGGGCCGCACGGCAGAGGCCACGCTATAGGCCTCCAGGGGCCGCCAGTGGCCCACGTGCCTTGGAATGAAGAGCACCGGCTTCGTTAGACATTGCACATCAACATTCAAACATATAATCAGCTTCATCTAACAGACCTCCCACCATCACACACCATAGCTCTCCTCACCCATCTCCTCTCCACCCCGCCACGCCACGGGGCCTCACGACACACCGCTGGCTGATCTCTCGCAGCGCCCCGCCTGCCACTCTGCCCAGCCGGGCGCCAAACCCCGCGCGCGTGCCGACGCCTCGTTCGTCCTCCTCCTCCGCTCCGACAGGCAACGAGTGCTCGCAGGACGAGAGCGGAGCGGCCGCTATCTTCACGGTGCAGATGGACGACCACCTTGGGGGGCAGCCCGTGCAGCACCGCGAGGTGCAGGGCTACGAGTCCACCGCCTTCAGCGGCTACTTCAAGAACGGCATCAAGTACAAGGTGACGCCGAATAGAAACTGCGCAGACGACTGTTTGTTTTATTTTTTTATTTATCACGTGACCTTTTTTTAAGTGAAGGCTGTCTCTGGTGTAGGACAATCAGTTTCGAAGACGATGGAAAATATTGTCAGAGATGTTTTGTTTGCACGTTCACCACAAGTACTCTGTGTGTCGTTAAGGCAAGACTTGATTTCTTGCAAATTGGTTTCGATTTGGTGTTTGAGCATCTTCACACCGCCTGTTTTATTGCCAGAGAGGGTAAAAGTATTTTTGTTGTCGTAATTCCCGGCGAAATGTCGCGGTGCTCGAATTGTAAATGCTGTTGTGATGACTCTGCAGCACACAAGCGGTGTGTGTGCCGAACTAGTGACACATTGGCATGTTTCGTTTACGCGACAAACCTTACCAATTGGCTGTGTTGGGTGGTGGTGGGCTAACAACACATTGATATTTACGTGATCTAACCCCAAAAAAACTCTATTATGGGGAAAATTGGTCGCAAAAGCCGACTACGTGTTAAACAATGTTTTTATACTAACAGATCAGGCTCACTGAGTTTCATAGCTCTTTTTCAGAAGAGATCTGGCCACCAATCGAAAGCTCAACGAAGTGGCTTATCATCATGTGGAAATGTATAGCAGCCAAATACTCTAAACGCATGTTTATTCTAAATGTGGAGTGAAAACCCAGAATGGCACACGAGGACCCGGAGAAAAACCCATGCGACCACGGGGAGAGAAACACGCAAACTCCAAATATACAAGCGTCGGGGTCAGGATCTAACCCACGACCTCCTGTATGCCAGGCGAGGCAGTTAACATCTCGCCACCGTGGCGAACATATGTTCCTGGGTCACCTGGTGGACCACAGAGATGCACGTGACCTGTCGCCACCACCACCACCACAGCCATAGGCAGCCGCAGAGACCCAGCCCTGGGTGTCCGCTCACAGCACTTGCCCTGCCCGGCGACGTAGGCCGCACGGGGTGGGAAGGGATCTTTACCCTTTGCTGTTTTGATCTTTGCCGTGCAGCCGGGCGGCGTGGCCTCGGGCTTCCGCCACGTGGTGCCCAACCTGGTGGACGTGAAGCGGCTGCTGCACGTGAAGGGGCGGCGCACGGTGCGCGCCACCGAGGTGCCGCTCTCCTGGGAAAGCTTCAACCAGGGGGACTGCTTCATCGTCGACCTGGGGGCGGTGAGGATGGACACGCACAAAGACAAAGATCCCTCGTATAGCCTTAGCAGACTGTTGGGGTAAGTGCCATTATCGAGCACTTATGAAGTCCGGCACAGCACACATGGGGGGGGGGGGGGTCGCCAGCACCACGCCCGGCCGCCTTTGTCTCCCCAGTGGCGATGTTTACACACCGCGCCAGGTACTCATTTGAGGCCGAGTCGACCTAGGGGAGGCCGAGGACCTGTTCAGATAATCGTCACTGATGTTGGCCGTGAGCGGGAATCGAACTCATGATTGCTGGGTTCGTAGTGCAGCGTAGCGCTAACCGCTACGCCACCGCTCCCCACAAAGCGCAGCACCTATATGCGACCAACAGGCTGGCACGTGACCCACAGACCTACAGAGGGTTCAACCGGGGCAACTGCTTCAAAGTTGACCTGTGCGCGGTGAGGATAAGCGGACACCAACACACACACATGCATAAGGTGTCTCAAAGAGGGAATGTTAATTTTTATAACTTTGTAAAACACGTAGGTGCAGGTTTAGAGAAAATTGTATTGTACAGTGACTGGGAGAGTGTCCCCGATCGCGTCGCTAGATGGCAGCGTGTCATGTGACTAAGTCATTGGTTCCCAATTTTATCTCGACTGTGCTATCAGTGTCATGCCACCGAGATGGAGCGCACGTTTGAAACCATTGCGCTGACGCAGAAAACGACCCGCGAAAGTGGCTATCGCAGAGCCACCTCTTAGCGTGGGGAGGTTTTCATCCACCGGTGGATAAACGGCGGCTGCCTGCGATGACGGTGACTAACATTGAAAGTGCGTGCAAGAGACAGACGGGCGAGTGGGCTTGGATGACGTGACGATGGGAGGCCCCGGGGGGGTTCTATTGGCTCGAGCAGACCACCAACCGCTACCCACGGCGCGCACCTGGGCACGTTCACTCTTCCTCTAGACACGCGAGCGCCCGCGTGCCGTTTGCCCCACTTCCCCGACTTGCGGGCAAACGGCATCGCCGGGACGAGAAGCGGAGACCACGGCGGGCTTGGCTCGCTTCAACTCCCGCAGATGGCCAAACCAGAAGGCCAGGCTTTGAACATCCCCCGAAAGCGAAACCTTTACGTGGTCCCGCCGCTCAGATGTTCCCCGAATTGTGCCGTTGGCACGACGCAATGTTTAGCGCATCGCGGTCGAAACCGTGTTAAGTGTTCACATTTGTATGAAATGTTCACATTTGTGTGAAATGTTCACATCGTGTTAAATGTTCACGGTTAAATGTTCATGTTTAACACGATTGTCTTTTTTTGCGACCTCGGCATTTCCACGCCGGTGTGCTGACCACGACACCAACGGCAGCCTCCCTCACCTTCACCGTCAGCAATGTTTTTAATTGCGTGCAGTCATTCGGCGACCCGGGGTTGAGACCATCGGCACGTTGCACTCTATGAGACATCTCCTTTACCAGTGGCAAAATATAGTAATAGGTTTTTACCCTATCAACTGGTACAAAAACTGACACCTTTATACAAGGCATCATGTTTGCAATAACCACAACACAAGCAGTCAAGCAGTCACGTTGCACTCGTGAACTCGCTTTTTAAATCACAGGTGGCGGCTGAAACCCGCATTGGAACCCAGGATCCGGCTCGGCACGCCGACCTCCGCGCCAGCCCGGCCGACCACCACGGACGTGTGCGCGGCGATCGTGACGGTGCGACTCCTTCACCTCCGTTCTGCCCCCTCCTCGCTCTACCCCCGTAGAACATCTACCAGTGGTGCGGCTCGAAGAGCAATCGCTTCGAGTGGCTGAAGGCCACCCAAGTGGCCAAGGGGATCCGAGACAACGAGCGGTGCGGGCGAGCGAGAGTCGACGTCCTGGAGGAGGGGATGCAGCCCGACGGCCTGGTGGAGGCGAGGAGAATGCACGCACGCACACGCACTCACGCGCATGTACGCACGCACACGCACTCACGCACACGCACGCATGCACACACACGCACTCACGCACACTCACTCACACGCTCGCGCACTCACTCACGTGCACACGCGCAAACACATACGCACGTTGCTCGTCCCCTCGTCATCTGTTGACTGTCACGTGTCACGAGAGTCAACGTTAACGAACGTCGCCAATAGCTCGTCACACACCGCCTGTCAGCCGCCACCCGTTGGCCAATAACCGTCACCAGTTTTCACCCATCACCTCTCACTCGTCACCCGTCACCCACCGTCGATTAAACATCACTTGCCCATGACGTGTCTTTCACAACTCAGCATCTGTCACTCACCATCCATTACCTGTCACCCATTACTCATCATCCATCACGTGTCACACATCACTCATCACTTGCTGTTGTTGTCACTGCCGTTGTTGTTGTTGTTCTCGTGACGTTCAGGCTTTGGGATCCATGCCGAGTTTGCCGGAGGGAGAGGCCGATGACGTCAAGGCCGATGCCTCCAACAGGAAAATCGCCAAACTCTACAAGGTGAGAAGCCACGCGACTGTCTGTCCGTCCGTAACATGGGATAACAATTATCCAATCTAAATAACATTTCAACGTAGAGTTTTGTTGTTAGCATGGACTTACCCTCGTCAGAACTGGTCACATTGGTAAGAGCGTGTCTTAAAACATGGCGAAAAAAAAATCAACGGGACATGGATAAGTCTTTTGACCGGCATCCAATCTAAATAACATTTCAACGTAGAGTTTTGTTGTTAGCATGGACTTACCCTCGTCAGAACTGGTCACATTGGTAAGAGCGTGTCTTAAAACATGGCGATAAAAAAATCAACGGGACACGGATAAGTCTTTTGACCGGCATCCAATCTAAATAACATTTCAACGTAGAGTTTTGTTGTTAGCATGGACTTACCCTCGTCAGAACTGGTCACATTGGTAAGAGCGTGTCTTAAAACATGGCGATAAAAAAATCAACGGTACACGGATAAGTCTTTTGACCGGCATCCCGACACGTGCTTGTGACTAGACGCTAGATGAACATCGTCCGTACGAAATTTTATATTTTTATTTTATTTCGCATCTTAGTCAAAGTACAATTTCCCCTCACCTTACTCGTCCTCACCGTCCGTCCCGACCACGCTCCGTCTCCTCCCCTCCCCCCCAGGTGTCAAACGCCTCTGGCACCATGGAGGTGATAATGGTGGCGGCTGACAACCCGTTCCGCCAAGACATGTTGCTGTCGGGAGACTGCTTCCTGCTGGACCACGGGCCCGCGGGGAAGATCTTCGTGTGGAAGGGTCAGCGTTGGGTTTAATCGCCTCGGGGAGAAAGTTATTAATCTATTACTTACTGGGATATATCAATCAGAAACGTGGACATGTCTTTCCTGTTCAATTGCAAGCCCCAGCAGATTCCCCTTCTCTGCTTAAGACCGCCTTCCTCGTTATATTTATAAAATAAATATTCCGCAATGCTTCTGTGCGGCGTCTTGTTAGGTGGAAGAATTTTTGCATGAACATTGTACCAACTTCGGCTTCACGGTTTGTGGCGTGTTGTTGCTGCTGCTGATGATGCTGCTGATGATGATGCTGCTGCTATTGATGAGAATATTGATGCTGCTGCTGCTATTGATGATAATATTGATGCAGTTGCTGCAGATTAAAATGCTACTAATGCAGCTGCTGCTGTTGATGATAATATTCTGCTGATGACGACGTTGATGACGACGATGATGATGACGTTGCTACCTTAGGTCGCGGCGCCGACATCGCGGAGAGGAAGGCCGCGTTGAAACTGGCCGAGGACTTCATCGTCCGCATGGGCTACCCGAAGAACACCCAGGTGAGCACACCTGCACGAGCCCAGGTCAGGTGACCCCGCACAACCCCCAGGTCAACTACCACAACACATCCTCATCTAGCCGTGGTCGATCCACTGCTGGACGAAGGCCTCCACAGGCCGCAGCCGCCGCCTCTCACGGTGATTCTGCGGTGTGCCGAGCAGTCTGGCACCCCGCGCACGAGCCGGTTCCGTCGATTCCATCTCTGCGGCAGACGTCCTCTACCGGAAACGCGTCGCGCTCCTTGGCTGCCCACGCCGTTGTTGGGATTTGCCATAGAGCCACCGTCCCGACCAGCCATGGCACGTCCTGCCCAAGCCAACTCACTTTTCTTGAACAGTGTATTTTTAGTTGGGTACGTTCTCGTAACGCGCGTGTTCCTCTTGCGGCCCCTCAATGTACTTTTCAGTTTTCGTTCCACGTTTTCGCGGCAAAACCCCATGGAACAACAACAAAAAGAGAGCTAGATTATTTTTTATTCCGCAATTACCAAAAAAATAAATCCACGTTCACCGCTGGGCGCCGGCCGCCTCTGAAACAACGGCCACTTCTCATCCTCCTCCTCGTGCTGCACCTGCCTCTAACCGCGCTCCGCCGCCCCACGCCAGGTGTCGGTGCTGCCCGAGGGAGGGGAGACGCCGCTCTTCAAGCAGTTCTTCAAAGGCTGGCGCGACCGCGAGCAGACCGACGGCCTGGGGCCCCGTTACACCGTGGGCAGCGTCGCCCGCATCCAGCAAATCCCGTTCGACGCCTCCACCCTGCACTCCAACCCAGCCATGGCCGCCCAGCACGGCATGGTGGACGACGGCAAGGGAGACGTGCAGGTGAGCAGGGGGGTGGCGGGGGGAGAGGGGTGTAGAGGGGCGTGATGGGACATGACAGAGGTCGCTGTTGACCTCGCTCTCGCGATCGCCACCAAACGCTGCCTCGCTCAGTCGGTCACCAAGGCACCCACTCGTTCGTCCGCCCAAGAGCCCACTCGCTCGCCCACTCGCCCACCCACCCTACCCAACAATAGCCCACTCACGGGGAGGGTGTGATGGGAGGGCTTCATTTGATTAGTGGGTGGGGCGACCTGCGTAGTGGGCGGAGCTACCAGAGCAGAGGGTGGGGTTACCAGAGCAGGGGGCGGGCCCTGTGAGCAGGAGGAGCTGCCAAGTGGAGGTCGAGCGAGGAGGAGGTGGCTCACAGTGCGGGCGGTGGTAGCGACTGAGTGGGCGTGGCCGTGTGAAAGTGGGCGGGGCTGGCTGACGTGCCGCGCGTCGCGCCGCAGGTGTGGCGCATCGAGGGCTCGGACAAGGCTTCCGTGGACCCGAGCACCTACGGGGAGTTCTACGGCGGAGACTGCTACATCATCCTCTACACCTACAGGACGGGACAGATCATCTACACCTGGTGTGGACCGCCCCCTCCGTACCCACTCCTGCCCGAGCATTCTAACCGTCCCGTGTGTTTTCGGATTGTATGGCGTGTGACCAGCCCATGCTCGCCAGGGCGGTGAAATGCGGTCAGACTACTCCTACTACCTGCACAGCGTGGGGGGAAGGCCTCCATCCAGCAGTGGAGTGATGAAGGGCTTTGAATTGCTATTGCAGGCAGGGTCATACCTCGACACGCGACGAGGTGGCAGCCTCGGCCTTCCTGTCGGCCGAGTTGGACACCTCCCTGGGTGGAACACCTGTGCAGGTGAGCTACTCCACACCTCATCGACCTCATCCAGCTCCTCATTCACCACCTTGTCCACCACAAGCTGTCAACCTCCTCACACTTCCGCCTCATCCTCCCTATCTTGTCCACCTCTTCATCCACCTCCTCATCCACCGCACCTAGTTACCCTCACCCACCACCTGGTCTGCTTTTTCCCATCACATATGTGATGAAGAAATTAACAAGCTAATTATTTTTGAGATTCGTTTGCGTAATGAGATGATGTCACATGTGATAATGTCATTTCTTCGATAACTAATTCATTAATTTTATACAATAATGCATTTAAGGCCGAGTGGCCTGGACTCAGGGCCTGCCTCACCTTGCCCGGGTACCCATGCCTTCCTGGGCAAGCGAATCTAGGCAAAATCGGGGTAGGCCCGGATCACCGCCCATGTAATTTAAGATAATGATTCTTTTCACTGAAATTCGTCCAACCCCTGGACCAATTGTCAATAGGCAAAGTATCAAATGGCAACTCAAATTTGGAATAAGATTCAGTTCGTGTTGGGTCACCTCTGCGAGAGTTACCATGGCCCCAAGTTACAGACAGAAAGCTAATGCTGTAACGCTTCAGCTTTAGTTGGAACGCGTTAAGAACAGACCTTAGTTGGCGAGCCGCGGGCGTTTGTTCAAGTGTGGGAAGGAAACTGGAACCCCCTCCTGGGGAATGAACATACTTCCTCTTCTCTTCGTGCACTTATTTAATTTCAAAGCTCAAAGGAGCGTGGGATGGCCCTCAAATCCACCGACAGCCCTGAACCAGCAGAGGAAACTCCACATTCCCATGGCAATTACAAAAACAATGGCAACAACAGCGAGGACGCTTCGCCGACGAGAGCAGATTGACTCCCAGCCGTTCCCGTCTGCTCCCGAACGCGGAACCCAGTGGATGGGTACGTTGTGGGTGGTAGGGCTTCAAACTATGCGAGTTGAGAATCAAGGTTGCAGTTGTTTGTGGCGGTGATGCAGCGGCCTCCGGTAGCGGGAGGGAGGGCGACGTGGAGACCTACAAATGAAGAGCGTGGCGTGTGACCATCGTCTTCTGATTGCGATTTTTTTTCTTTATCCATCGATTGCTATTCCAGTTGTGCCACTCTGGAGAGTTTTCCGCTTGCAGCGAGCAGTGCACCGAGTCTCGGGGCACGCTGTTTGTTGCCGGTCGCTGGGCGTTTTTGGCCCATTACTCGGCAACCGCGATCGCAGAACAAAAAATTTCGGAGGGACAGGGGCCCTAAAATGAGCCCCCAGGGACAGCCCGGGCGGCAAGGGACAGCCAGGATACGAGCCTACGGCGCGCCACCGGGGCGGTGTGTTCACGATGCACCAGACTCGTCAGAGTGCGCTGATAGCCGACGTTCAGGCTGATTACTCGCCGTCGCCAGTTGCCGAGGATGCCCAGGGACCTCTGCCTCGATCGCGTGGCTCTGCGCTCACCGCACCCCCCCCCCCCCCCGCTCCACCCCCCACCCCAGGTGCGTGTTGTGCAGGGCAAGGAGCCGGCGCACCTCATGAGCATCTTCGGCGACAAGCCGCTGGTGGTGTACCGGGGCGGCACGTCGCGCGACGGCGGCCAGAGCCAGCCGGCCGACGTGCGCCTCTTCCAAGTGCGGCGCAACGCCGCCCGCCGGACGCGCGCCATCGAGGTGAGTGGGTGGGGCTACCCGATGAGTGCAGTTTGAGGGCCGGTTCAGATATCACTCGCCACTGCTGTTAGCCGTGGCCGGGAATCAAACTCTGATGAATGAGCTCCATCTTCCATATTGGCGAGATGTTAACGACCTCGCCTGGTATGCAGGAGGTTTTTCAATGAACTAATTGTAAAAAAAAGTGCTCGCCCACACACTCGCTCATTTACGTGTGTGTATGCATGCGTGTCCGCCAGATGGAGGCCAGCGCGTCGCGCCTCAACTCGAACGACGCGTTCGTGCTCGTGGGCCCCGGCGTGGCCTACACGTGGGTGGGCCGCGGGGCGGTGGAGGCCGAGCGCCAGGGGGCGGCGAGCGTCGCCGCGCTGCTCGGGGTGCAGCCCACCGAGGTGAACGAGGACTCGGAGCCAGGTGACGATCGCTCTCTCTCCACGCGAGGCCGCCCCCCGGGGACTCTTCTCTCCCTCCGCTGGTGTTTTGGCCAAGTGGGAGATTTCCCTTCATTCGTTGCGATCAGCTTCGTATTTTAGCCACACCGTTTGAGACCCATTCAGGGCAGTGAAAAAGGCGCCCGTTGCTGTAATGGGATGATGTCACAACGCGAGGTGGCACTGTGCAAATAGAGCAGGTCACGGCCTACACGCTCCAGGCTTTTGGCAGTGGCAGTGTCAAAGGAGTTGTGTAGTGTCGACTTGAGGGTCATGGAGACAGCGTTTGGTGTGCTTTGTTGTTTTGTTTAGTATTGTTTATAAATGCCTACCGTTGGTAGATAAGACAGTTGCCTCACTTTCATGGGAAGGCCAATAACATGATGAGGTTTTTCTTAATCAGAACTCCGCATTGTCAGAGGTCACTCACAACAACCCCACCTAGTAGAAATGTCATTGGTTGCACCACGTGCGTGTGTGCGTGTGTGCTCCGTGCGTGTGTGCTCCGTGCGTGTGTGCTCCGTGTGTGTGTGCTCCGTGCGTGTGTGAGAGTAGATGAGTTCTGGTCGCTGCTGGGAGGCAAGGTTTCGTACCAAACCTCATCGCGACTCCGCAACAAGACGGAGACCCACCCCCCACGCCTCTTCGCCTGCTCCAACAAGTCCGGCAGATTCACGGTGAACATCATCAGCACTACCACTCCTCAAAGACAAAAGTCCCCCGTCTAGCCTTAACAGACTGTTGGGGCAAGTGCTATTAGCGAACACCTATGAAGACCGGCACGGCACACAAGGGGGTGGGTGGCCAGCATCACACCTGGCCGCCTTTGTCTCTCCAGCGATGATGTTTACACACCGCACCAGCTACTCATTTGAGGCTGAGTCGACCTAGGGAGAGGCCCAGGACCGGTTAAGATAATTGTCACCGGTGTTGGCCGTGAGCAGGAATCGAACATGGGTCGCCGGATTCGTAGCACGGCGTGCTAACCGCTGCACCACCGCTCCTCCCACACACACACTTACACACACGTATACACACACGTACACACACGTACACACACTCACACACACACGTACACACACTCACACACACATGTACACACACACATACACAACAACAACCGCCATTCGCCACTAAGTGGCGGTGACGTCACCACGACGCTTGTGCCAGGCCACGTACACACACACTCACTCACACACACATATACACACACTCACACACACAACAACAACCGCCATTCGCCACTAAATGGCGGTGACGTCACCACGACGCTTGTGCCAGGCCATGTGCACCTTGAGGCCACGTGAAGTGTCGAACGCCCGCTGGCAGGAGGTCACGGGGCAGATCCAGTTGCCACGGGTCGACTGACCGAGATGACACGTACACACACGTCCACACACACATGTACACACACACTCACTCACCTTGCCCCCAGGTGAGGCAGCCAGGCTGTGCGTGTGCCTCCTGCCCTTGCAGGTGGAGGAGGTGCCCTGGAGAAATCACGCAGGAGGATTTGGCCACGGACGACGTGATGCTCATCGACGCCTGGGACCAGGTGAGACAAGGCCTGCCCGTCTCGCCTTCATGCGGTGCCCTCGGAGAGCGGTAGTGAGGGGGTGGTGAGCGGGTGGTGAGGGTGTGGTGAGGGGGTGGTGAGGTGGGTGGGACCCCAGCGTGCGCTGCGCTGTGTTGTGTGTTGTTGTCGGTTGTGCAATGCGGTGTGAGGTATATTTTACTGCGGCGTGTAATGCGTTGCGGTGTGCGTTGTGTTGTCGTGGTGTGTGGCGGTATGTGTGTGATGTGGTGGCGTGTGTGCTGCGGTGTGCATTGGTGTGTCTGTGTGTAGTGTGATGTTGTTGGTTGTGGACCAGGGTGTCTGTTATGTGATTGTGTGTCTTATGTGCATATAACATCATATGGAGCGGGCTGGGTAGCGTCTTATGCGCTGTCGTGTATCCCGTGATTGTGTGTGCTATGTTGTTGTTGTGTTGGGCGGTGGTGTTATTATGCAGGGGGGAGTATGTGATCCTACCGTGTACCCGTGCCTGTGTGGGATTTGTATCGCCTCTCACCTCGTTCTGCTCCCCAGATCTTCGTCTGGATCGGCAGCGATGCAAACGACGTCGAGAAGAAGGAATCCCTGCAGTCAGGTGTGTTCATGCACAAAGGCAGAGATCCCCCGTGCAGCCTTCAGCTGACTCTGGGTGCTGTTAGCGAGTAGCAGCACCGATACAGGCCGGCGCGGCACACGAGGGGGTGGGTGGCCAGCACCACGCTGGTCGCCTTTACCCAGCGGTGATGTTTACACGTCGTACCAGGTACTCATTTGAGGCTGAGTCGACCTAGGCGAGGCCCAGTACCACACGCACACACACGCACACACACACACGCGCGTGGCACAATCATGATATTTGCTTACCCAGAAAGGCACCGAGTCTCAAGTCTCCCTGTGGAGAGTCGCCGTTACATTGCCACGTTTGGAGAATGCCGTGGCTGTAATTGACGATGCGTAACGCACCCACGTGGGTGTTCACGGTCGTGCCGTACCGCCAGTCGTACCGCGTCGATTGGCACGGCATTCCTGCGCGAACCAGGCGCCTCCGTTTCGATTGCGTCAAATCGTTTCGGTCAGAAGCGGCTACAAACTGACGCGGGACACCACTCCACCTCATTTTGGCGAACTTTCCGAAAAATCACGGCGGTGGTTTTCCGCCCCCCCCCCCCCCCCAACCCGCACCGCGACCGTGAATTTGACTCGACAGAAACTAGAGCGGCAAAACCGCGGCCACGGTTGTTTTTGCCGACACGGCAAAACATTTTTTTATTATAAAATATTATTTTTGAAATCCCCCAAAACACAAAACTAACGCCGCCACCCGCGTGACCCCCCCCCCCCCCGCGTCTCCCCGACCCGGCAGCGGAGCGCTACCTGGAGACGGACCCATCGGGCCGCAGCAAGCGCACCCCCGTGGTGGTGGTGAAGCAGGGGCACGAGCCCGCCACCTTCACCGGCTGGTTCCTCGCCTGGGACTCCGACTACTGGCAGCAGGACCCCTTCGAGAGGGCCAAGGCCGAGCTGGAGGCCGGAAACCCCATGTGACCGGAGCGTAGGCGCTGCCAGCAGCAGCACTAGCAGCACCAGCGGAAGCAGCAACAGCAGAAGAAGCAGCAGCAGCACCAGCAGACACAGCACGAGCAGAAGCAGCACAACAAGCAGCAGCACCAGCGGTAGAAGTACCGCAGCAGCAGGAACTTTTAGTTATAATAGCCATAGCAGCAATGAAGATGCGGTAGATAAATTGTAGCGCCAGCAGTAGCGCCACGATCACCAGCAGCATGAGTACTGCCAACAGTGTCACCTGCATCAGCGCCTTCAACGGTAGCAGCTGCATGGTCGTTGTCATCAACATCTTCAACATCACCAGCATCATCAGCAGCATCTTCAACATCACCAGCATCATCAGCAGCATCTTCAACATAAACATAATCATCATCATCATCAGCAGCATCAGCAACACAAGAAATATAAACATCGCTATCATCAGCTACCCACTTTGCCATATATTTGCAGCCTCGTTCCATTTTAAATATTCACTTTTCCGATGATCATAGCAATAATCTTGATCATATTGACGACAACGACGACGATGATGAAAGTATTAATGTTGGTTTTGTTTTGAGTGTCGTGATGGCTTCTCAGATCGACCGACCTGCGGACGCGAGCCGTGAGCTGTGAGCCATGGGCCGTGAGCCACGGGCCGTGAGCCACTGGCCGTGAGCCGTGAGCCACTGTGAGCCACTGGCCGTGAGCCGTGAGCCACTGTGAGCCACTGGCCGTGAGCCGTGAGCCGTGAGCCACGGGCTGTGCGTGTGTTCAACGCCGTCGTGGAGGGGCGATGCGCGACGAGCGCCTCATTTTGGCCGCAGTGAAACGCACGGGCGGAGCGACACCTCGGGGGTCCGAGCCGCGAGTCGACGGAAAATCCGACCGCCAGCTGATCGGTACTTTTTTGCCGTAAATAAATGGCCCAATTGGCCGGGTGGGGGTTTCCACCAATTTCGGGTGCGAGAATCTTCCCGTCAACGCGGGGGGGGGGGGGCATACGAAGTGCGTTCCGTGCGGTGGGATTCGCTGTGTATGGCGCTCATCAGCAACAGCAGCAGCGCTCCGCCCTACAGCCCGGTCGCCACCCAGCCGGTGACTCCCTTCCACTCGATGTCACCAGGGTAAAGGCGCAGCGCTGCAAGTGCTCGCTCACGCCACCGCTGGTGGAAATGCCTCCACTAGAGGAAGCTCTCAAATGTCCCTCTCCAGACGATATTTGGCATACTCTTCCACGGCGGCGAGACGTCTTGGAAGAGGTGCGAGTCACCCACACTTGAGCCCCCGCCGCGCGCTCGGCCTGCCGAACTCCGTGCGTCTTTGGTTCCGTGCGAGGTTTTTGTTGTCGTTCGACCGCTCGTTTTGTACGGCCCCTGTCACCCCCCTGCACCGTGGAATTAAACTCACTCCGCGAAGATCAACGCTGGGCATCTCGGGATCGAGTTTGTATTGTTCTTATCGTTGTTGTTGTTGTTGTGGACCGGTTCAGAAATCACACGAGCTAGATACGCGGACAGACTATTGGGCTTAGAAGAGTCTCTGCTCGTCTATGGATCGTGTAAGTGCACGTCAGTTTATGAATCTCTATGTTAATCTATGGACCATGTAAGTGCTTGCAGGTCTATGGGTGTATACGTCAGTCTATGGATCATGTACGTGTATGGGAGTCTATGGGTCTCGGTGTAAGTCGATGGTAAAACTAAATTGCTGCTTGTTTGCCAGAGCTCGATTCTGCAACATCTCATGGGAAGTAATCATCAGCGTCATTGTGCGGAACACAAGCATCAGTATAATCATCATGCTGCCTACGTCCCGTGGCCTGCACATACCTGATGGTACATCACCACTCCATCAGCCACGCAGTCTCGTCGGTGGCTTCGTGTAGTCACTAGTCAGCATTGGTGTAGTACATCAGCAGAGGCAGGCTTCTCACAACCAATGCTGCCAAACTTCGAGGACCCCTCTAGGGACGTTTGGCCGAGATAAGGGAGGAACGATGTGAGCCCTGGCTGGGGTTTGAACTCATGTTTGTAGCGCGGTGTGCTCACCGCTGCGACATTTACACACTGACACATTCGCATCGACCTCTACACCCAAAGACGAAGATCCCCCATGTAGCCTTTACCAGACTGCACACACACTCACCACACACACTCACCACACACATTCACACTCACCACACACATTCACACTCACCACACACATTCACACTCACCACACACATTCACACTCACCACACACACTCACCACACTCACCACACACACTCACCACACTCACCACACACACACACACCACACACACTCACCACACACACTCACCACACACACACACACCACACACACTCACCACACACACTCACCACACTCACCACACACACTCACCACACACACTCACCACACACACACTCACCACACACACTCACCACACTCACCACACACACTCACCACACACACTCACCACACACACACTCACCACACACACTCCCACACACACACTCACCACACACTCACCACACACACTCACCACACACACACTCACCACACTCACACTCACCACACACACACTCACCCCACTCACCACACACACACTCACCACACTCACACTCACCACACACACACTCACCACACACACTCACCACACACTCACCACACACACACTCACCACACTCACCACACACACACTCACCACACTCACACTCACCACACACACACTCACCACACACACTCACCACACACATTCACACTCACCACACACTCACCACACACACTCACCACACTCACCACACACACACTCACCACACACACACCACACACACACTCACCACACTAACCACACACACACACTCACCACACACACTCACCACACACACACTCACTCACCACACACACTCACCACACACACTCACCACACACACACTCACTCACCACACACACTCACCACACACACTCACCACACACATTCACACTCACCACACACTCACCACACACACTCACCACACTCACCACACACACACTCACCACACACACACCACACACACACTCACCACACTAACCACACACACACACTCACCACACACACTCACCACACACACACTCTCACCACACACATTCACCACACACACTCACCACACACACTCACCACACACACTCACCACACACACACACTCACCACACACACTCACCACACACACTCACCACACACACTCACCACACACACTCACCACACACACTCACCACACACACTCACCACACACACTCACCACACACACTCACCACACACACCACACACATTCACCACACACACTCACCACACACACTCACCACACACACTCACCACACACACTCACCACACACACACTCTCACCACACACACTCTCACCACACACATTCACACTCACCACACACTCACCACACACACTCACACTCACCACACACTCACCACACACTCACCACACACTCACCACACACACACTCTCACCACACACACTCACCACACACATTCACACTCACCACACACTCACCACACACACTCACCACACACACACTCTCACCACACACATTCACACTCACCACACACTCACCACACACACACTCTCACCACACACATTCACACTCACCACACACTCACCACACACACTCACCACACACACACTCTCACCACACACATTCACACTCACCACACACACTCACCACACACACTCACCACACACATTCACACTCACCACACACACTCACCACACACACACTCACCACACACTCACCACACACACTCACCACACACACTCACCACACACACACTCTCACCACACACACTCACCACACACTCACCACACACATTCACACTCACCACACACTCACCACACACACTCACCACACACACTCACCACACACACACCACACACACACTCACCACACACACTCACACTCACCACACACTCACCACACACACTCACCACACACACACTCTCACCACACACATTCACACTCACCACACACTCACCACACACACACACTCACCACACACACTCACCACACACACTCACCACACACACACTCTCACCACACACATTCACACTCACCACACACTCACCACACACACTCACCACACACACTCACCACACACACTCACCACACACACTCACACTCACCACACACTCACCACACACACACTCTCACCACACACACTCACCACACACACACTCTCACCACACACATTCACACTCACCACACACACACTCACCACACACACTCACCACACACACACACTCACCACACACACTCACCACACACACACTCACCACACACACTCACCACACACACACACACTCACCACACACACTCACCACACACACTCACACTCACCACACACACTCACCACACACACACACTCACCACACACACTCACCACACACACACTCACCACACACACTCACCACACACACACACTCACCACACACACTCACCACACACACACTCACCACACACACTCACCACACACACACACTCACCACACACACTCACCACACACACACTCACCACACACACTCACACTCACCACACACTCACCACACACACTCACCACACACACACTCTCACCACACACATTCACACTCACCACACACTCACCACACACACTCACCACACTCACCACACACACACTCACCACACACACACCACACACACACTCACCACACTAACCACACACACACACTCACCACACATAACACACTCTCACCAGACACACACATTCACCACACACACACTCCCACACACACACTCTCACCACACACACACTCTCACCACACACACACACACTCACCACACACACACTCACCACACATAACACACTCTCACCAGACACACACATTCACCACACACACACTCCCACACACACACTCTCACCACACACACACTCTCACCACACACACACTCACCACACATAACACACTTTCACCAGACACACACACTCACCACACACACACTCACCACACACACACTCACCACACACACACGCCACACACACTCACCACACACACTCTCACCACTCACACACACTCACCACACACTCACCACACACACACTCACCACACACACACTCACCACACACTCACCACACACACACTCACCACACACACGCCACACACACACACCACACACACACTCACCACACTCACCACACACACACACTCACCACACATAACACACTCTCACCAGACACACACATTCACCACACACACACTCCCACACACACACTCTCACCACACACACACTCTCACCACACACACACACTCACCACACACACACTCACCACACATAACACACTCTCACCAGACACACACATTCACCACACACACACTCCCACACACACACTCTCACCACACACACACTCTCACCACACACACACTCACCACACATAACACACTTTCACCAGACACACACACTCACCACACACACACTCACCACACACACACTCACCACACACACACGCCACACACACTCACCACACACACTCTCACCACTCACACACACTCACCACACACTCACCACACACACACTCACCACACACACACTCACCACACACTCACCACACACACACTCACCACACACACGCCACACACACACACCACACACACACTCACCACACACACACTCACCACACACACACACACTCTACAGACACACACTCACCACACACTCACCACACACACACTCACCACACACACACTCACCACACACACACACTCACCACACACACACACACTCACCACACACACACACTCACCACACACACACACTCTACAGACACACACACACCACACACACACACTCTCACCAGACACACTCACCACACACACTCACCACACACACACTCACCACACACACACTCACCACACACACACACACTCACCACACACACACACTCTACAGACACACACACACCACACACACACACTCTCACCAGACACACTCACCACACACACTCACCACACACACACTCACCACACACACACTCACCACACACACACACACTCACCACACACACACACTCTACAGACACACACACACCACACACACACACACTCTCACCAGACACACTCACCACACACACTCACCACACACACACTCACCACACACACACTCACCACACACACACACTCACCACACACACACACTCTACAGACACACACACACCACACACACACACTCTACAGACACACACTCAACACACACTCACCACACACACACTCACCACACACACACTCACCACACACACACTCACCACACACACACACACTCACCACACACACACACTCACCACACACACACACTCTACAGACACACACACACCACACACACACACTCTCACCAGACACACTCACCACACACAATCACCACACACACACTCACCACACACACACTC